GGGGGGGAACAGGGGCGGGGTTCCCTCTAAGCTGAGTGAGTGTGAGCCAGCTCGCTGTTTCTGAGCCTGCAGCTCACACATTCTCGCCTTCGCTCAGGAAGGACGGGGCTCCCCCCCAAAAAACTAATGTGTAAATGGCGATTTTATTGTACTGTTATAGATTGTTTTAGAGGCATTGTTTTATTATTGGTTTTTAATGTTGTAAGCCGCCCTGAGCCGCTTCGGCGGGAGGGCGGGATAAGAATCAAATAAATAAATAAATAATGGATGCAGCAGCTGTTGTGTCCGCTGACCGCCACCAGGGACCACATGACCACAGAAATGTCTCCGGACAGCGCTGGCTCTTTGGCTTTGAAACGGAGATGAGCACTACAGTCGGACTCGACTGGCTTTCGAGCAAGGGAGACCTTTACCTTTAAACCATGCTGATCAGTACATGCTGATCAGTACAACATTTATCAACCAGTTAGAAAGGGTAAGAAGTGCTGGTAATGATGCTACCTCTGTCAGTAAGGGAAGTGTGAGGACTGGATCTTAGATGTAAAATATTTTTGTACGTATCTCAGTGTGTACAGTAGAAAGCTAGAGGAAAAGCAAAGAAGAATAAGTAGTGTTAGTGGGAAGAAGTTCAGCTTCTGTCATGTACTGCAGCCATGGAAACCATGTGCCTACAAACCTAGAGTAGGTCATGGTGGTGCCTAATCGTTGTGTTTGAAGTGAGTCAGAGATTTTGCACATAATAAACTGATCCCATACTTTATGTCTCCACATGGTCAGCATTGGAGGGGAGGTAGACCGGGTTCCCTCTAAGCTGAGCTCTGGCGTGAGCTAGCTTGCCGTTTTTCAGCCTCCAGCTCACACATTTTTGTCTTATAGGGTTGCCAGGTCTGGGTTGGAAAATACCTGGAGGCTTGGGGGGGGTGGATCCAGGAGAGGGTGGGGCTTGTGGGGAGGGGAGGGGCCCCAGCATGGAACAAGGCCACGGAGTCCACCCTCCAGGGGAGCTGATCTCTGTCAGCTGGAGATCAGTTGTAAAAGCAGGAGATCTCCAGGCCCCACCTGGAGGCTCACGACAAGCACACAGGGAACACAGCTAAGTTAGATAAACACAGAAAACACTGTGAGGAATTTCAGACAGACGATATAATCCGGAAGAGGAACGGTTCCCAAACGGTTTCTGGTCTGTCATTTCAGACAGAACCGTTTTAGAACCAGTTCCCTACCAGAATATATTTGTAATTCCACACACAAACGCTACTGTCCCATTTAAGAAACGGGGCTGAAGCATTTTACCTGTCAACCACTTCCAAGTAGTCTTCAGTTTCCTCTCCCGGTTCCGATGCACTTTTTCCCGCCGTTTTTCACCCGCGCGGGTGATCTCTGGCTCTCTCTTTCTTTTTTAACGTTCACTTTATAGCGCTACAACAGTATAACGCTATTACACAACAGCATTATATAAACCCCATTGGAATTCCTGGAGTGTTGTGTTATAGCGAACGTTAAAAAAAAAAGCCAGAGATCGCCCGCATGGCCGAAAAATGACAGGGGAAAAGCAGGAAAAAGCGGTGCAGTCTGAAATGGCAAACCGCTTCAGATCCAGCTCTTTACCAGAAGGGCCTATTGTCCAGAAGGGGGAAGCCATGTGTGAAATGGCAGCCGTATACCGGTTGACTCCACAACAGATCAAAAACGGGTTAAAAAGGGTAATGTGAAATTTATCATTGTGTTGAAATAATAAACACAATATTCACATGCACTTATAGCTAAATATTGTGTTTATTATTTCAACACGGTGTTTTCTGTGTTTATCTAACTTAGCCGAGTTCCCTGTGTGCTTGTTGTTATTCCTTTAAGGGTAAAATGTTGTCTATGCAGGAAATGTTTTCATTTACAGATGCTGATAAAACGGATAGCTAGGCTTGCTTGCTAGCTGAATCACCTCTTGGGAAAATACATCTACTAGGCTTGCTTGCTAAGCTGAATCATCACAGTGAGAAATATAAGCGGCCTGCTAGCTTTACCTGATGGATCATCTCTTGGGAAATGTACAATAGGTTGCTTCATTGTTCGGTGCAAATAATTGTACATTGGTATTTATCCTCCCGGAGCTGCGGTGACTCAAGTGGTTAAGACGCTGAACTGCAGGCTGTGGAAGGTCAGTAGTTCAGCGGTTCAAGACCCGGGTGCCGCAAGACAGGGTGAGCTCCTGTCTCTAGTTCCAGCTCCTGCCAACCTAGCAGTTAGAAAGCAAGAAATTGCAAGTAGATAAATAGGTACCACTTCGGTGGGAAGGTAACAGCGTTCCGTGCACCTTGGTGTTTAGTCATGCCGGCCACATGACCACGGAAACGTCTTCGGACAGCGCTGGCTCTTCGGATTTGAAACGGAGATGAGCACCGCAACCCTAGAGTCGGATTCGACTGGCTTTCGAGCAAGGGAACCTTTACCTTTACCTTTATTTATCCTCCATCAGGAAGAAGACAGTTGGACTCTTCATGTTATATAACTTAGTTTGGAAGTGTTTGACATGTGATGTTGTAGTTTGAAAGTGTTTACAATACACTAGAGCTGATGTTGTGTATATAAAGCAAATATGTTTAGCTATAAGTGCATGTGAATATTGTGTTTATTATTTCAACACGGTGTTTTCTGTGTTTACCCACCTGGAGGCTGGCAACCCTATTGTCTTGGCTCAGGAAGGAGGGCTCCAGAGCAAACTAATCTATACAGTAGCCAAATCGTTCGCTCACAACTTTAATGCCAGGAGCTCACGAAGTAGAACATTAGCCCACAAGACTCCCACAGCTTAGAGGGAGCGTTGTTCTTTAGAGGATGAAACGGAATTACATATCATAGTTGTATATATAGGTGGCAGGGCTATTTTTGGGCAGGAACGCACAGGAACGAAGTTCCGGCTGGCTCCCGAGTTGGCCACGCCCAGCAGGAACTCATTAGCATAATAGGCCACACCCAACAGCAGAGACTCATTAGGATTGGCTACATTAGGGGTGTGTGGCCTAACATGCAAAGGAGTTCCTGCTACAAAAAAAGGCCCTGGGTTTTGACAACAAACAAGGTGAGCAGAATAACAAGCAAGAGGTGGGTGTGGCTGGATGACCACACTTCTGGTAAAATGGGGGTGTGGCCTAATAGGCTAATGAGCTGTGCTGTCAGGGGTGTGGCCTAACATGCTAATACATTTCTGCTGTTGGGTGTGGCCTGTTATGCTAATGAGTTCCTGTTGGGCCTTTTCTACAAAAAGAGCCCTGATAGGTGGCTTGTTAAATTAGCATGCAAAAAATGGTGAGAATGTTTTTTAAATAGATCAAAAGGACTGTCAAGCATCAATGTCCAGTTCTAACATATTTATTACCTGTGCTGTCGTCCACCCGAAATGGATGATG